TAGCCAAGTCAGTCTCCTCTCACTTTTGCTGCATGTCATTAAAACCTTTCAGGGCACAATTTTCTCAACTGTCAAATCAGCATGGCAATATCAAACCCACAGAGCACTTTGGAGAATTAAATCATAGAATAGCTTGACACACAAATATACTGTCAAGAGAAAGTGCTAGTATTGCTCCTATGTAGGTTAGCCCATTCATAAATAGCCAGTGTTTGTTTAAATAAAACAACCATCAGTCAGGTCTAAGTTTGGTGTGTTCTTTATAAAGTGTGTAAGTTTTCCAACATAAATAAATGTTAGATTATCCATGTATGATCATTATTATTTAGTTGTAAGACAACTAAATTCAGTCCTCTGTACATTTTAAATAACAAAAACCAGTGTTTGTTAAGGGTTTTTTATGGAAGCTGGCTTTCATGGTGAATATTCTTACAGAAGGTATGAAACAAATATTGTTTTCTTTGTTTTGAGACAAGCTCTCATGTAATCCAGTTCAGCTTCAAATAGACTATGGAAACAAAGATGACTTTGAGCCTCTAATCCTCCTGACTCTACTTACCAATGGCTAAAATTAAAGACATAGGCTTTGATGCCTGATTTATGCAGTGTTGGAGATTAAATCCAGAGCTTCCAATACTAAGCAAGCATTTTAACAACTGAGCTATACCCTCAGCATCCCCAACACTGTTTTTAAACAGAAGCAAATGGATGGAATGATGCTATCTTTTCCTAAAATGAATGTGAGGCAGGGACAGAGGGAAAGAAGCACAAGTTGCAAAAGGCAGGAGAGGATCACAATAGCTAGGCAGTGGTAGGGTTGGGATACCTACCAGATGTCTACCTTGCATGCCTAAGCTGGGTCTATTTATCTCCAGATGGTAATGTCATCCTTTTGGGGTGACACTCTATATCATTAAGACCATATTCAAGTAAGAATGCATTGAAAAACAAGAATATGCTGACAGATTCTGGTTTATCTTCTATTCTGGGTAGAGGTGCAGGCATAGTTCATGGCAGAGAGCTCATCTAGCATGTGAGGAGCCTGGATCCGAACCCCAGCATCATGTACATGTATATGAACAAATGCATGCAGTTGTCTAGTTCCACTATCATAAATAACAATGTATTTCCTTTTATGAAATCATTTTTCTATGAAATACACTTAAAATACTAAGAATAAATTTTAAATGAGGTAATCTTGCACATCCAACAATCCATGGCTTAAAATAATGACATCATGCAACACTCTCTCTCTCTCTCTCTCATAAAAAAATTAAACTGCTTTGTTGACCATTGATAATGCTGTTACACTATGTTTATGACTAGGCAACAGAATTGTTTATAATAAATTCTTCTGAAGAATTTAGTTTGGTTAGTTTGGGTCTATTTCAGATTCCCAGCCCTAACTAATTGTATGATTACTCACAAGGAAAATGAAAAGCACCCACCTTCTCCTAGGTCCTGCATCTTATCGTAGGTCTGCTGGACTTCAAGCAAATTCTTACTTAATTATCTTTATTAGGCATTGGTACTGGTAACTTGTTTTGAAACAAGGTTTCATATATCCCACTCTGGCCTCAAATAGACTTGTGGAACTAAGCTATGAAAAACTTTCTAAGCAGAGAAAACAAATATGGGCAGGTGATGGGGATGTTCTTCTGTACATATGTTTCTCTTACTAGCTGATGAATAAAACACTGATTGGCCAGTAATCAGACAGGAAGTATAGAAGAGGCTACCAGACAAGGAGAATTCTTGGGAGAGGAGGCAAAGAGTGAGCAGCTGGAGAGTTGCCATGTAGCCACCAGGAAGGAAGGATGCCTGGACATTCTCTGGTAAGCCAAAACAACATGGAGATACACAGATTAATAGAGATGGGTTAATAATTAAGAGAGAGCTAGCCAATAAGAAGCCTAAGCCATCAGCCAGTTTATAATTACTATAAGTCTCTGTGTATTAATTTAGGACCGGGTGGCAGAATTAGACAGAACAGAAACTCCATCAAAAGGCAGGATTATTATTACATTTTCTTATTTCCAGGTGTGGTGGGGAGGGAGCACGGAACACATAAGGATATCAGAAGACAGTTTGTGGGAGTGGGTTCTTTCTTTCAACATTGTGAATCCTGGGGATTAAACCAAGGCTGCCAAGCTTAGTGACAAACACATTTGTCTGCTGAGTGATCTTGTCAGTTCAGGTATGTCTAAAAAAAACTTGCACACTTATTTATTTTGCATATATGTGTGGGTTCACATGTGCCACAGTGTACATGTGGAGGTCAGAGGCCAGCTTGTGGGAAATAGGGTCTCTCCTTTTATCACATGGATTTTGAGGACTGAATTCAGGATACCAGGTTTGGTAGCAAGTGCCTTTACCTATTGAACCATTTTGCCGAACTATGTAGTTTATTTTTATTACCTTTTTCCTGACAATATTTAAGAAAATCTGCAGGCCATATGTAGCCCCATTTCAGGTGTTTTTGATGACTCATCTTGCAGGAAACTTGGGCGGACCAGTGGGTGCAATAGAGAAGCTTTAGTGTCTTCACCAGCCTTCAGTCTCTACTCCCTGTCAGTGCTTTCCTCAAGTGACAACACCCCTTCCCTTTCTTTCTACTGCTACAAAAACATAGGGACTACAAGAACACTAGGGAGAAAAAGAATATCTTCAAAGTATAAAATAGTTGAGTGTGTGGCACTAACAGGTCCGTTAGTATGGCCCAACAAAGTAGCAATCTCTAGGTTTATACACTGTTTGTTATAGGATAGTTCAAAATGGATATTACTATTCCTGTAACTGCCTTCATTTACACAGATAACATTTACTACTTATATGCCACACATGTTCCTATACACATCTTACATATCACTCTTAATTTTCATATAAGCAACACGCCAAATTTCACAAGAGCCAGGATTTTAAGTTAGGTCTAACTCTACAATTCGATTTATTTGTAAAATTCCTGTAAGATAACTGATAAATTTTTATATTTTGTCATTTCTCAGATCTATAACCTATCAAAACTAACACATGGCTTGAACTCTTCCATTAGATGACTGTCTGTCTACCTACTGGTAAGTGGGCCTCTGCCTGAGTATTTGGTTGCCCCCCCCCCCGCCCCAAGTGCTAGGTAGCTCCTGAGCAAAGGCATGACCTGCCCACTATTATGAGCTTCATCTGATGGGGACTGCCTGGTCAAACAATGCCATTGACTTCCCAAAGCCAAAGCAGTGCTAAATACACAGCACCATGTTGGACTGGCTGCGAGTTATTACTCTAGATGCATTGATAGAATAATGACTAATTACTGTCAGACAATTATCTCTTACACTTCAAAATGTGAAGACTACCTGTATAATAAGGGACTTAGCTCTTGTGGGTATGTGGTCCTCACCTAGGATAGGCCCTTTTCCTAGGCTGCCTCTTGTTCATGAGTACTGATAATACCTTCTGGATCTGTGTCATAGGTGTGTGGAGGAAGAACATGTGCAAAAGCTTTAAAACCCAACAAGCACCATATTAAGTAACATAATAATAAAAGGATAACATGACTGTAAAGAGAGAAATAAGATATGCTAGAGAGATGGCTCAGTGCTCAAGAGCACTCATACTAACTGCTCTTTCAGAGGACCTGAGTTCGGTTCCCAACACTCCAGTAAATTTTAAATCCTCTTCTGGTTTCCATGGACATCTGCAAACATGTGCAAAACACATGCAGACAGACATACATATACATTAATAAAAATAAATCTAGTAAGAAGAGAGGAGTTAATAAGTCCTGTATCTCATTAACTTGCCAATGTCTACTTACTGACATTATTTTCATTCCATTTCTTTACTCATAGAAAAGGCAAGGGGTCTAAACAAATTATTAGAATTATGTAGGAGGTCGGGCAATAGGGGTGCACATTTTAATCCCAGCACTTGGGAGGCAGAGGCAGGGGGATCTCTGTCAATTGAGGCCAGCCTGGTCTGCAGAGCTAGCTCTAGGACAGCCAGGGCCACACAAAGAAAACCCTGTGTTGAAAAACTTAAAAAACAAACAAATTAGGCATGAAAATGTGTTGCTAGCCATGTTAGCTTTTCCAGGTAAGTTTGAAGCTGAAGACATTGTGACATTATTGGTACTGTATTTTGCTGTAGGTAGACTAGTATTCACTACATGGAAAGAAGTTACTGAGCATTATTTTGTAGCCAAGTGTAAACAGAGCAAATCATTAGGTAGGTGTCTCTGAAGCTCTACAGATGTCCTGAATGTTGAGTGAAAGTTTGCAACAATCTCAAGACCAAGAGGAAGAGCAGAGCTGTCCGAGAAGAGGCTATATCCTGTGTCCACAGGACACAAGTTTCTGGCTCCTACAGAACATCCCTGCTGTTTATGCAGACTCTGCAAGTCTGGTCTCACCTGAGTCACTAGATCTCTGTATGAAGAGCTCCTTTCTATCTACTGGCTGGACCACCAGATCAGCATTAAAAGAGGTCCAATATTAACACAGGAAATGGCAGGAATAAGAGAAGTTGTTTAAGTCTTATACTCAGCCTCCACCTTAAGTGGCTCTCCTAAAGGCGACAAAGGCTATTAGCCCTCTGTTGGCCTTCCTGTCCTCTTACAGAAAGAACATGTATTTACATGTCTTAGGAAAATAGATGCGTTTGTGTACTATAAGTTTGATGCTGAACAAAAATATTATTCACTTTAGAATTAGCGTGTATGAGTGTGCACATACATGTGTGCTTTAACTATTAGAAATCCGTTTACTGAATACAAAGTTTACAGCTTGTGATTAGATTCCTCCTAAACTGTGTATTTTTAGCATCCAGTGTGTGTGTGGCTTAGTTACAGAACCAATGATCTTTGTAACCACATTACAAATGAATTGTCACTTAACTGCCCCTGCCTGGTTTTACATCCAAACCACAGACATAACTCCTGGCTTTGTTTACCTGCATTTTGCACTAGGACCTTGTTCAGACAGTGCCGAAAATGATACCCAGCTTACTTTTTCATGCTTGTGTTTCTCCTTCTCTTTTTCTCTCTTCTCTCTCTCCCTTTTCTCTTTCTCCCTCTCCCTCTCTTTCTTCTCCTTTTCCTTCTCCTTCTCTTTCTTCTTCTTCTTTTCCTTTTTGTCCTTTTTCCTTTCTTTTTCCTTTGGTTTCTCTTTTTCCTCAAACAGTTTTTCTGGGAGCATCGGGGGCAAGGCAGGCAGCATGGATGGGACCCTCACTGCTGTGGAAGGGCTGAACAAAGGTAGTGCCATTTCTTTCGGAGGTAATATCAGCTGTGTTGGAGGAGCCTTTATCTTGTCTTCTCTGCTTTTTTCTTTAATCTTTTCCCTTTCTCTCTTATCTTTATCTCGCTTGCCTCGTTCTCGATCTTTCTTCTTGTCCTTATGCTTCTCTTTCTCCTTCCTCACTATCCCGTCTTTCAACCGCACTTTTGGATCAAGGTCTTCAAATTCTCTGATTTTAAACCTATAGGGATCGGGATCTTCATCTTTCATAAAGTCCTTCCATGGGTACTTGACTTCCTTGGCAGCTTCCCTTTCCTTCTCCCTTTCTCTCATTTTATCCTTCTCTTTGCTTCTTTCTTTGTTTCTCTCTCTTTCCCTCTCCCTATCTCTCTGCTTTTCTTTCTTTTTCAATTTAGTCTTCAGTTCTTTTTTCAACTTCTTCCTTACATCCACAGATGAAGGCAGCTTGGCTTTCTCCTCATACCCCTTGTGCAGAGGTTCGGGAGTGGGAGGAGAAATGGAGGGAGAAGAGATATACGGGAAGGTGGGAGGCATGCTGGAAGGGGTTCCCAGTTTTGCCTTCCGTACCACCTCATCAATCGAGGCATCCATCGTCCACGAGTTATCAGAACTTGAAGTTCCGCCAGAAAGAGGCAGAGGAGTAGACCCAGACTTGGTGAAGTTATTGGAAGAAGTGGAAGCCTTTGGAGTGGTGCACTCTGAACCGGAAATCCTCTTAGGGCTTGTAAAAGTGTCCACTTCAGATTCCGATCCCGAAGAAAACTCGAAAGGATCTGGCTCCCGCTCTGCACAGGCGCGCGCAATCACGGCATCGATGGAGTCATCGATGGTTTTGTCTGCCACAGCCTTTTTCGGCTGCATTTCCATGTTCAGTTTCCCAATTTCTGGGGGAGTCTGTGTTGGCTTCACTGGGATGATTTCTTTAACAGTCTTTTCAACTACTATAGCTGAAGGGGTTCTATTTGGCGTTTCAGGTCTGGGAGGGGGTTGGGGAGTGTGAGTTATAATCTTGGGGCTCTTGGGACTCTTGGGGCTCTTAGAACGCCCTGGTGATTTCTTTTCTTTGGGGATGGTTTTTGGTGACCGAATGGGACTTCCAAGCCTTGCTGGTGATAGGGTAGTTTTGGGTGATTTAGTCTTCTGTCCTGGAGAGCTAGCTTTAGTCTTTGTTTTCGGTGCAAATGACTTTGTTTCTAATGGCTTTGCAGTTGGTAGTTGTGATTTTGCAAACGGAGCCAGCATCGGGGGCTCCGGTGATGGAGGGGTGAGATCTGTACTGTCCTGGACATGCACAGGAGAAAGCATTGGTGGGATCTTCTGTGGGTTTATGGAACTGAGAGGTTCTCGTGCTTCTAACAGTACAACATCCAGGGAATCCCCTTTAGTGCTCAGGAGTCGCGGGCGCTTCATGGCGGGTATTTCTTCCACCTCAGGACTGTCCAGTGGCCTCTTACCCAAGAAATTCTCATCGTTGATGACCTCTTCCTCCTCCATCTCATCGTCTTCTTCCAAGGGCACTTGCATAGCTTCTGCTGAGGTGCCTCCATCAGTGGGCACCTGCTCCTCTTCTTCCTCTGGTAAAAGAAGAAAAGGGCATGATTAGAATGGAGCAGAGAGCAACAAACTGAATCTAGATTCAAACCTCACTTCTTGGAAGGAAGAGAAGGAGTGAGTCCTCCCAGGTCTTCCCATCCTGGGGTCATCATTCTTTTAAAAGTAGCATCAGGAGACTAGCTTCCTAAATGTATTTCCTGAGAGAATACTGACTTACTTTCTATTCCTACACCTTTCTCATGCTTTTCCCAACATCCCCATGCCCCTCAAAAATTGAGATCAGTTTTCATGACTGCTAATCTCAGAAATGACAGAAAGACATACTTTTAAAAGTATGTGCGTGTACATGTTTTTATGTGTACACAAGTGCCCATCTGTGTGCGGGAGCCAGAGGCTGACATCAGGTGTCTTTGTCAGTGGCTTTCCACTTTACTTTCTGAGATAGTGTCTCTCACTGAATCTGGATCTTACCCAGTCAGGGAGTTTATGTAGACTGCATTCAGGTCCTTATACTTTTATGGCAAGCATTTTACTGACTAAGACATATTTCCAGCCTTTTGGAGGAAGAAGAAAAAAAAAACTTATGCAACAAATTTTAGTTCTCTGCACACAACTTTCATCATAGGTACACTCCTTGGAGGGCTGGCATGGTGCAATGCAATACATTAGGTTCAGACATCTGAAACTGTACTTTAGCTAGAGTTCTAGCCCTATGGAGTGATGGGCCTTAGGCCCTTGAGTCTGTTTCTTGGTCTTTCAAAAGGAGTTGATGCACTTGCCCTGCCTACTTGACTGAGTTCTTCTAAATCAGATCATGTCTTTTTGCACATATTAACTAAATGTACAATATATGATGATAAAAGCTGAAAGAACTATAGGGTCAATTCATAGCCTAAAACAGTACCTGTGTATAGCATATGGGAAATCAATTAGTACCACAGACAACGTGCTACAGGATTTCAAAACAGAAGGGGGTGACCCACTGCCAACGGGGAAGACTTCAAGACTAATGTAGTAATTAAAATATTGCCAGGAGTATCAAGGTCCAGGATGAACAATTAGTTGGCAAAGAGGAGGACTCTGAGACACAAGAAGTATGTAAGAACCATGGAATAATGTGTCTGGAAAGTAAGGAGTAAAGTAAAGGTACAAAAGAAAGTTGAGTAAAGTTATATCCACATCGCAGAAGTCAGAAGACTTTAGCTAGCCACGTGATAGATAGAAAAGAATGGAGAGTGACAGACACCAAAAGCAGAGGACAAATTAGGTGTGACAAATGTGATGTAGGTAAGACAGAAGAAGAGACTTCACTAGAAAGTAGTAGCAAATAGGAAGCAGGAGAGATAAATGGCATCCCTAAGACAGTGAATAGACTCTTGCATGCTCAGGTATAAGTTGAAGGGTTCAAACACAAATCTAAGGCTTTAAGGTCCAGAATAGTCAGTTTCATCATTAACAGAAAGAAAAATGAGGAGCAATGGTGATTATTAGCTCTGTCCTGAACACAGAGCTTAAGGAGGAGCCTTAAGCCAATGGTGTGGACTGAGCAACTTAAAATATACTGAAGTTCCAAAAACCAGGCCTGGATGCAAAAGGCTTTCCTTGATAACCGAAAAAATAATGGATATGTAGAATGAAATATGAAGTGCTGATTCAGAATTTTGAGGACTATCTATATGTAAAGAGAAATAGCAATGAAGTACATGGAAGATCAGATGTCAACGAGCTCAAAGGATCAAGAAGTTTTGAAAAGAAAGTTTAGGGCAACAGAAAGAGCTCAAATGGGTGAAGGTGCTTGCCACCAAGACTGATGATATGAGCTTCAGTCTTGGGGTCCACATGGTGGGAGGAGAAAGCTCACTTCAGAGGTTGTCCTCTGATCTCCACATGTACACTGTGGTGCACATACATAACACACATAATAAACAAATAAAAAACATTTAAAGGTTTTTGTTTCAATAAAAGGAAGCCTAGTGAATAATGTCAACACTCAAGAGGTCAAGGAGAGTGAAGAAGGTTAAAAAAGACAGGCTTCAAAAGCATTCGGGGGTGAATGGGTGAGGCAATAAAGTGAAAGCACTATATAAACTATAAAAACACATAACTTCAACATAATTACCACTACCATCACTTAACAATGCCACTGTCGTCTCTCCAGTAGCCATGGCAGAAACATGGGAGTCATTTCAGACCATTTGTTTGTACACTTTCCCTCCTACCTCAACTTCTGAGTGCATCGCCTTTGGGCTCAACTATATTCTGGTTATACATACATCAAAGATAACCCAAAAGTATTTCCTTCTTGGCCCTTCAAGTTAAAGGTTTTCTGTGCCAGATCTGTAGTGTTCAGACCATCTAAACATTGACTTCCCTTCTTGTACTTATGAAAATGACAGGGCAGATTTCAAATTAGTTGGAGGTAAACCTGTGAAGAATCAGAGATCGAGTAGGATAGTTTCCAAGGGAATAAAAGTTTAGTAGCACTTATTAGTGGTCTGGAGATGTAGCTCTGATGGTAGAGCTCTTGCTTAGTATCGATAAAACACTGAGTTGGATTCCCAGTGATGTATAAACCAGGGTGTGGGGACACACATCTGTAAGTCCAGCATGTGTGAGGAGGAGGCAAGAGGATCAGAAGTTCAGAGTCATCCTTAGTTACAAAGCAAGCTGATGGTCAACAGTATACATACATTTCTGTCCCAAACAAGAAAAAGGAATGCTTGCTAGTATTATATGTTTTTTGTTTCCAGTGTTGGGAATCAAACTACACTTTAATGACTGAGCTATGTATCTAACCTTCTATTTCACTGTTTCAAAAAAATCTTTTATTCTACAAAGGGTCACAAATCTGAAGATGGCAAGGTAGAAAGGAAAGTTTGGGCTAGGTAAGAAAACAGGCCAGTAGAATCCTTTAAAGCATACTTTGTTCTAATTCTGGAGGCTGGTTTGGATTTTCATTTGTTTTCAGAGTGAGTCCACTAAGGTACACCTGAGGAAGGCCTTGGGAGAACAGAGGGAAACTGCTCTAACACAAGCAGTTCCTGGGAAGGAGGACCAGGGTGACTGGTAAAGGCTACCTAAGTCTTAGAGATACAGACATGTTTATAATCAGGAAACTGGAGTACTTGTGTTTTCTTTGTTCAAATTATATTTACTTTGTTTGTTTGCTTGTTGTGTGTGTGTGTGCATATGTGTGTGTGTGTTTGCACATATGTGCAAGGACTCTTAAGTATGACCATGCAAAGGTCAGAGGACAATTTGCAGGAGCCAGTTCTCCCGTGTGGGTTCTGGGGGCTGAACTCAGATTGTCTTGCTTGGTGGTAGGGGCCTTCACCAGCTTAGCCATCTTGCTGGCCCCCAAATTTGTGGTTTCAATATAAGATGTTTGAAGCCACTGTTCTACTAGTGTGTGATTCTATCAGATTGGAAGGGCAGATGCTGCCAGGTAGGTAAGAGTACAAGGGAATACTCAGGCTTAGCTAGGGGAAAATGCAATAGTTTCATATGTATGTATGTATGTATGTATGTATATGAAAATATATTGATTTATTTTCAACTTAGATCTCAATTAACTCATAAAAGCCTAGAAAATTAATGACAGTTATTCAAGATAGTAAAACAATTTAAAAAAGGCATAACGCTTCATTCAAAACAGGGCTCTGTAAGCAAGAAGGGGCCTTTCTGTTTTGTTAAACTCTAGACACGTTTTCCTGTTTCCTATCTGTGAAAAGGCTCTACTGTGAAAGCGCCTCACTTATTCGACAAAAGTTAGCTAGTACAAGATATATGCCAATGTTCCTACAATCGGAGTATCTGAAGACTGGATGCAAGGCATCTTTTGTATATGTGCAAAAAATCAATAGTGGAGAACACAAGCTTGAGGCAAAGTATCGAGGGTGTGATTTTAAGAAAACTCACTCATTTCTCCATGTTTTCTTTCTTGCTCTAGCAGATGTGGACATTAGCATGGTTTCCCTCGAAAGGACAGCGAAAGCTAGCATTACAGAAGTATTTTCAGCAATGACACTGTTCAACGGGACAGACATACAGAGAAGATTAACCCTACAGCACTTTCTGAAAAAGGTTGAAAAAAAGAAAAGCAATTCTGTTTCCTGAACTCCATGAACAACAATCCGTGATCAGGGCAGAGTGAACATCTCCACGTGAAATGGGTGTCACCTTTTCCACCTGTTCCAACAACTCTGACCTGCTCCAAATGCTGCACAGAGTTCTGATAAGAAATCATAGAAGTGCTTCCTTTTCTGAGGGTCATAACCCTATACAGAGAAAAAGAAGACAATAATCTACCCTCCCACCAAAGAAGATATGTTAAGAATCCTAATTAAGCCAAGGTGGGAAGCCTCAAAAAATATAAACGTTCTAGTAAATGTTCATGGCTACTAACTAACTATTTTTCATACAGATTCACTACAGATGTGAATTCCATATAATTCCACCACAGAAAATATTGACATAATTGAGGACTCTTCATTCAACCAAATATTTTCCTTGTGTGTTGACAGAAGTAGAGTCTTAACTGTCCCTAAAGACCCCATGTCAAAGGCTGTTTCTGACTCTGTGTTATTGGAAGGTGCTGGGAACTTCATGCAGTGGGACCCATGGAGGTCTTTAAGTCATGAAAGGGTACCCTCTAAAGGGATGTGGGTTCCAGTTCCATTTTATTTTCTGCTTTTGTTTCCTGGGTCATGAAGTCAGCAGGTTTGCTCTTCTGTGTAATTCCACCATGATGTATTGCTCTGCCACAGGCTGAAAGCGACAGAGTCAACCAATCAAGAGAAACCTCTAAAATCATGAGCCAAAATCAGTCTCTCTTTTTATGTTCATCACCTTGGTATGTGTTACAGTGATAGAAAGCTGACTGACACATCTGGAATGCTTTTGCAGCAGTAGTGAATAGAGAAATAATAAACAATATGGATGACTGAGTACAAAATCTCTTAAATCTCACAGAAGGAAGGAAATACAATCAACAGTAATGTCCATCTTTTTTAAAGCACAA